ATCTAGAACAAATTACACCTAAATGTGACCCGATAATAATATTGCAAATTAGAGTGTATCTAAGTAATAATTAGATCCTAAACTAGTGATATTTATGTAAAAAAAAATATTTAAAAAATGCAATTGATTATAAATACAGGTTTTTGCCAATCTTGGTTTACTTGATCAAAATAGTTAATTAATTTTGATTATGAATTTAGGTACAAATTCTATAAAACAAATCAAAATAATATTTAGCATAATTGAAAATCTTATACAAAAAAAAAAAAGGTATTACAAATCAACACAAAAATATCGAAAAACAGCGAACATGTAAAGACAAATTAAAACTGCGGAAGCCATAAAGTCTTTTGATCATGAATTTAGGTATATATTCTTTAAAATATTTAAAATAAAATTTAACCTAATTGAAAATCTTATGCAAAAAAAGTATTATCGAAGTGTAAACATAAATTAAAATTGTGGAAGTCAGAAATTACCTTTCCGCTACATAAACAAGTAACTCTTTGGTAGCATAGAAGGTCAATCTAATATCAACTAGTTCACCTTGACTGCGATTAACCGCGTCATGGCACACGTATGGAAACACATGTGAGTTGGTGAGTCCGCGACAATTAGCCATGTCAATAACATGCCACATGAAAGGTTCGTTGAGCACTCGACTCCACGTAGTACACACCTTTTGTGCAATCAATAGTCTCTCTATAGTAGCCAACCTCATTAATATGTTCTCCCATAATTCTTCCGGCAATTCCAACCACGATCGATTCGAGTTCTTATTCTTGCTCTTGTTCTTACTTTTCCCTTTTATAAGCATTGTTTTGCTAGGGTTTGATTTGTATAAAAAAATTTGGGTAAGGATTTTAGGTTTATATAAATTTAAAATATATAATAAGATGAGTTTCAATTATGGTAGGTGTTTTGAATAAAATCGGAGGCCTTTTAACTCTTTATTATAACCTTACATAATAATAAGGGAGTTTTTTTTTTATATATTTTATATGTGTAAAGTCTATTTTTTAAGTTAAAAAAAAAGAAATGAAACCTTTTATGTTACAAAAGTCAACACGTAATTAACACCCAAATGAAGTCCCATACATTTGAAACCTTTTATGTTACTCCTATTAAAATTAAATGTTTCTAATATTTTGAATTACATATTATGAGGTATTAATGATTTTGATTAGCAAATTATAAGTTATTAGATATCTTTTTTCTCCTATAATTTTTTTAAAATATTTATTTATATATGATAAATAGTAATTTTACACTTTACTTTCTTCATGCTATACTTGTATTCTCTCTAAAGAGCAATGCATCTGTCCATTGAATTTTCACAAGTTAAATTTGACACTCCTAGTGTTATCGATGTTAGTAGGTAGGAGTACATCTTTACTAGTGTTATCGATGTTAGTAGGTAGGAGTACATCTTTACTAGTGTTATCGATGTTAGTAGGTAGGAGTACATCTTTACTAGTGTTATCGATGTTAGTAGGTAGGAGTACATCTTTACTAGTGTTATCGATGTTAGTAGGTAGGAGTACATCTTTACTAGTGTTATCGATGTTAGTAGGTAGGAGTACATCTTTACTAGTGTTATCGATGTTAGTAGGTAGGAGTACATCTTTACTAGTGTTATCGATGTTAGTAGGTAGGAGTACATCTTTACTAGTGTTATCGATGTTAGTAGGTAGGAGTACATCTCTACTAGTAAGTAGGGAGTGTATTGTCTTGTTGTTGCCCTTACTAGTAGGCGTAGAACTACTCGTATAGTTTCTTGTTCTTCAATTGATGGTTACTATCTGTTGTTTTGTGGTAGATCGATTATAGGATTATTGTCATAGTATTGCTCTGCTACTATCTGTTGTCAAATTTATTTTATATTATCTCTTGTACTTTCATTACACCGTTTTCTAAATTGCTTTTGTCTTGAGCTGAGGATCGATCGAAAACAACCTCTCTACCTCACCTCTGAGGTACACTCTATCCTCCCCCAAACCCTTCTCTGTAGGACTATACTGGGTATGTTATTGTTGTAGTGTCATCGATATTTCCTTCCTTCGCAACCAAATTTAGAAAAAAGAAGTGTACATTGAAGCTAGAGATGTGGTAGAAATATGAATAATTCACAAAAGATGATTTGGTTTTATAAACATAATAGTAAATAGTACAAAGTTTAGATAGCACCAATGTTTTTGAGTCCAAGAACAACTCCAACACCAATAATATGACCAACAGTACCACAAGCCAAAGTATCAGCAAGTGTAAATCCAGCAGGGTCCCCTGTCTGTAAGCCAGAGTCCCTCACTTCAAGTTTTAGCCCTGCAGTTGCCTTCCTGTTTGCTGATGGTGCTAGCCCAAATCTACCAGCAAACAACATTAGGCTTGTTGATGTCACCATTATCTGTCAAACACAAATAACATTTTCAATTACAACGCATCTCTCTATTTGTTCAAGTGCCTACTTGTGTAGGCCCAAAGTTAAGAGACACAAAACTATATGGTGTGTTCTAATATGATTATCTCAATTGAAAATTATCTATTAGTCGACCTGATAGGGTAAAAAGAATCTACGTTTGAACCCCTTGAAAAATTATATTGTATAAATAGGAAAAAAATACAACTTTTTTGGTTATATGTAAAACTATTGAATTCCTGAAAAAAAAAACATATCAATGTAGTTTCATAAGCAGGGTCTAGGGAGGGTAAGATATACGCAGACCTTACTCTTATCTTTGTAGGTGTAGAGACTAAGGAGGTTGCTTCTAATAGAAACTTGATTCAAAACAAATACAATCAAAGTATGATAGAAAGAAATAAACCGACAACAAAATAGCAGGATAAAAGTAACACATAATTGGTTAATATTTTACCAAATTAGTGGATGAGCCAATGAAATCACAACGAGCTCCCAAACCACCTTGTCCTTTGTTGCGCCTTGGTTGAATTGCCACCTGCAAATAGATATAAAAACAATATTATAAACAATTAGATTTTTAACTTTGACCACATGTTAAATTTTAATTTCATACATAAATTATGAGTAAATCTTTTTCTTATAACAATCCTAATATATTAACCTACAAAATAAAATGTACCAACTTGATATATATGTAGTGGTGGAGCTATAATTAAAAGGATTCAATTGAATCTCTTTCGTCAGAAAATTGTATCAAGTACATAACTAAAATCGTTGAATCTCCCTTTATATGTATAAAAAAAAGATGGTGTTTTCTTGTTGGTGTTGTTTTAAATTTCTTTATTAAAAAAGAGGAATTAGGTATGCACAAATCATATAGCTAAACAACAAAATCTGTCGCTATTATTATTGAGCGCGGGGATGGAGTTCCGAGGGGTATTAAGCGACACCTCTTGACGGAAAATGACATTATATAGACAAGACAAATTTTATTATCAATGTTGACAACTCTTGACACAAGTTGAAGGTTCAGTCCAGTGATTAAAAGTATTGAGCATGTTAGTGACACCCTTTAATGAAAATCGACTAGTAACATAATATAATTTATTTATTTTAGCTACGAGCAATTTAGCGTAAAAACATAAATAGGAGAACTAACCAAGCCTTGAACTGGAGAAGCTGAGAAGGGTTGGGGTTTGAGCCCATTGAATTGTGGTAGAGTAGTCATCATGGTGGAAGCCATTGTTGCAAAAAACTCAAGATAATCAAACAATGGAAATGTGTTTTATTTTTCTCTTTGTTTTGGAATATTTCTTTGCTTTTCTATGTTTAAATTGTTATAAATCTATTTGTGTGGAATGAAGTTTATGAAGAGTTTGTGGCCATAGAATGAGGCTATTATGGATACACTTAGATTACTTGTTTGCTGAGGTGGCATTCATATATTGGCTTACTCAAAATGGATAAGATTTTATGCTTTGTCTCCAAAATTTTATTGGAAATTCCCTTCTTTTTTTTCATCTGGTGTATGGTATTAATGGATTCACGTCTAGAAGTTCCACATTAAGGGGTAAATCGTCTCCAAACAAAAGCGACTCCATACTCAAGAGGATTCGAAATTGAGACGTTTGGTTAAAAATGAAAGAGTACTTACCATTCCACCACAACCGTTGTTCGTATTTTATTGAGAATTCGATGTTATTATTGTGATGATGGAATCTTAAGTTGTCATTTGACCATATCTTATTGTGAAATTTGGAAAAAAGTAATTTTTATTTTTAAAGTGAAAATTGGAGTTATATTTGCTTATGAATACAAATTGAAGTTGAATTTAAAAATATTATGGCCCAAAGTTTTAATTGTCTCGTCATCCTCCGTAATTAGCAAAGACACGCTCCAAAAAGATTATTTTTATTAAGAGTCTATTTTTACGTAAATTACTTTGTTAATGGTTATTAAAGTTGTAACTCTAATAATTTGGAGTGAGGGTACTTAATATTAATGGCAACATCAAAAGAAAATATAAAATGATTCTTAATTTTGATAAAAGAAACAAGTAAAAGTAAAAAATATATTTTTAGTACCAATGTATAGTAAAAACGAACAGATATTGCCATTTCAATTATACCCACAGCCATAATGCAATTGCTCGAGGTAACCCACACTAGGCAAGTCCGGTACGATGAGCTCGACCCAAAAAGGCAAACACACGTTACTTTCGCTAGCAAGGGGTTTCAAACTTGAGACCTCCAACATAGCTTGTTGCAACTTAGATATCGCGAGGCGATACATGCCAAGTCATTTTCCTTCTATATATAATACAACAATCTCAGCAGACAGAACAAAATATCTTGAACTGGGACAGCTTGTTATGCTATTACGAAGGCCTAATACATAGATAGATACCTTAGCTTGGATTCAGAACACTCCAACTTTGAGTGTGCATATATAGACAATTCTACTCTATATGCATTCTCAAAATTGAAGTGTTTAGTTGCCAATTAAGGCGAAGTTATGCTGTCTGTATTATCCCTATTACAAAAAATTCCAGAGAGACAGAAAAAAAGATTCAAGCCCCAAATGATTCGAATGTCCTTCATAAAAGTGAGTAGTTGCACAATGACACAAGGATTGTTTAATTTAACAACCACAAATCTACACATGTGCTAGGCACTTAACCCACTACAGTTACTTAGCAAGTGCTGAAACAGATATCTTTATATTCTTAGGGCTTAACAATTGGAAAATTAAAGGATCCAGAACAACATAAGGTGTACAAATGACAGTAAAACTGAGACTAATGACATCAACAGAATAGAGGGGGACATCACTATTCGAACAGCATCTCATCATCATCAGAATAGTTGCTGCCATCAGAAAGCTCATAATCATCATCGTCGTCTGATATGAGGTCAATGTCAGAAAATTCAGATGGGTAATCCTCATCAAACGACCCATAGTCGTGCATCTCTGTATCAGGCCCATAATCTTCGGCGGGGTCCTGTGGGGGTCTTAGAGATTTGAACTGTCGAAAATATCGCTTACCTACTTCCCCTAACAGATTGACAGTGAGACATCGCCGCAGATCAAGCGATTCAAGTTGAGGGCAGCCATTGAGAATAGCTTCCAATCCACCATTCGTCATCTTGTTTCCAAGGAGTTGAAGGTGGTGCAGTTCAGGCATGTTCTGTGCAATAGCTTTGGCTTCTTCATCGCGTTCACTGTAGGGGTGTCTGCAGATCTGGTTGTTCAACTTAAAAGACTTCAAACCCCGACAAGAACTGCCTATAGTCTCAATCGCTTCTTTGGTGATAGCGATGTAAAAGAGGTGCAGCTCCTCCAATAATGGGAACTTCTTCACAGCTGCACTCAATCCCTCGGCTGAGACATTGTAGGAACATACGAGTCGAAGATGTTTGAGCTGAGGTGATCTGTTGAAAAGATTCAGAGTTAATCATTAGAGATAGATATGCAGCATTTAAAGTATCCACGGGGATGTGAACATACACAAGCATCAATCATGCAAGGAAAGAAGCAGTCTCTATTGAGCAGTAACAGTTACATCAGTCGAACAAATTTACATGATCGCTTGTTTTACATAATTCAGATGCATCATAGAATGCAGTTTAGGTAGTAGTAGTAGTCCTTTATGCGTACAAAAGCTTGTGCTTGTTCAAACATTTCCATGAAAGTTTAGCTGGATCAAAACCAAAATATTGTGAACATAAATTAGGTTGCTTTCTGTTTTTTCAACTATTAAATTGTACTTGTACAGAGAGGTACGGACTAACTTCCTGAAAGTATTTCTACACTTATTCCATAATAATGGCCCACATCTACCATTCTTACTTCAAGGGTTCTTTTGTCTTTGCTCACTCTAATCCATAATCCATCTACTGCAAATACATGCACTCTCATAATTAAACACAGATTTCCGCATAACTTAACCTGATATTAGCAGGGCAGCGTTTATTGAGGTCAAGCAGTTAGTGTTAGATAGTTTGAAATATATATGAAGTGTCATTGTCCCAGAACGGAAGGCAAAGTAAGTCTGAAGGTTTTATATAAAACCCTTGGTAAATTAGGCCTTCCTGGTTGAAGTGACTAAGAACTCTGCAAGTATCAAACTAGTGGCTTGTTGAATCATGAAGATTATCTAAGTTTTCCCCAAACTCTGCAAGTATCAAACTAGTGGCTTGTTGTATCATGAAGATTATCGATGTTTTTCCCCAATTCAATAATACAGCCTTTTTTTTTTTCTTTGATGACAAGTGAAACCCGCAACCGCTACCCTTTGGGTGCGCACAGGGTAAAACCCCCGCTCCTATGCTCCTATACATCCTTTTACTTTTCCAATCTCATTTCAGTTCATTAATTTTTCTAACGATTATGTTTGCAATTACTTTTTTTCTTGTTTGGCTAACCAAACATTGTATTACTTATGCAGGATTTCAAGCTGAGATTGGTGTTGCTAAATGTTACACCAAAAAACCCTAATAATTAGCTAGCTTTAAACTCACATCCGTGAAAGTTTAGCTGGATCAAAACCAAAATATTGTGAACATAAATTAGGTTGCTTGCTATTAGTTCAACTATTGAATTGTATTTGTACAGAGAGGTACGGACTAACTTCCTGAAAGTGTTTCTACACTTATTCCATAATAATGGCCCATATCTACCATTCAATCTTTGGAAGATTGCCTCGCCACAAAGCTAATAGGCGATGAAGGATCGCCTTGCCTCTCGCCATTGGCCATGAGGCAATCGCCTTTCACAACACTGCTAAGGCCCCTTGGAGATTTGAAAAAATCCTTCCGTTTTTCATTGAGTCATTGACTAAAGATTGTTAAGTTGGGATCATCCTTACTTCAAGGGTTCTTTTGTCTTTGCTCACTCTAATCCATAATCCATCTACTGCAAATACATGCACTCTCATAATTAAACACAGATTTCCGCATAACTTAAACTGCTATTAGCAGGGCAGCGTTTATTGAGGTCAAGCAGTTAGTGTTAGATAGTTTGTAATATATATGAAGTGTCATTGTCCCAGAACGGAAGGCAAAGTAAGTCTGAAGGTTTTATATAAAACCCTTGGTAAATTAGGCCTTCCTGGTTGAAGTGACTAAGAACTCTGCAAGTATCAAACTAGTGGCTTGTTGAATCATGAAGATTATCTAAGTTTTCCCCAAACTCTGCAAGTATCAACCTAGTGGCTTGTTGTATCATGAAGATTATCTATGTTTTCCCCAATTCAATAATATAGCTTTTCCTTTTCCAATTTCATTTCAGTTCATTAATTTGTCTAACAGTTATGTTTGCAATTGTTTTTTTTCTTGTTTTGCTAACCAAACATTGTATTTCTTATGCAGGAATTCAAGCTGAGATTGGTGTTGCTAAACGTTATACCAAAAAAAAAAACCTAATAATTAGCAAAATGAACAGATACTACCTTTAAACTCCCATCCATATTTGATAGCACACAAAAGTATGAAATTAGGGTTTAACAGCAGAAAAGCAGGAAACTAGGGTTGAAAATAGAACCTTTCAGCGATATAGCTGAGCAACTTGTCGCTGCCAAAATACTCAAGGCTGAGATCAACTAATTCCCCGTTGCTACATTCCACAGCTCGACCGCAAATCTTCTCCAAATCATCCTCCCTGTCCCAGAAATCGGCGCCGGCATTCTGCATTTTCACAACTCGCCACATAGCTGGTTCATGGCACAACCGACGCCAAGTTGAACACACTTTGTCGGCGCTCTTCAACATCTCAATCGGCCCAACCTTTTGAAGGATCGACGATGTAATATCCGGCGGCAATTCCACCCACGGCGGAGCAATTGAATTTTCCATATCTTCTGCTTCCATTTTGGAATGAACAGTTTGGTTTCTATTTTGAGTTAATTTGCCCTAATTAAAAAACTCCTTTTTGGACAAAATCGTCTTTTTATCATTTTTCTAAAATTGTTATTTATTTAATTAATTTAAGTTGATAAAATTGTAATTATAAACACTAATAATAGTTAATCAGTAAATACATCATTTCTTTGTTTAGGTTTAATTTAGGTTAGGATTCACACTAGGCTTAAAAGGTTACTTTTTACTCTTTTAGATACCTATGAAAAATAAATATAGCATTATTATGAAAAGTGATTTCCATTGATTCGTTTTTTTTTTCTCTTTGAGAAGGTTTTTTACCGACTTTGTATTGTTGATATACATTATTGACTTTTACCTATCTAAAAAGTTACATGTAAATGTATAAGATATGTATAGTTAGTAAATAATATATGTATATTTTGGATACTAGTTACAAATATTTTTCGACCAAGTTAGAAGATGTATAATATATGTATAACTAATACTCTTATATAATATTTGTATATTGCCTAGGGGTTATAAGTATTTTTGGCCGAACATCCAAATATGTGAATTTACCCTTAATTTAACCGTAATAAATAATGAAAAATTGTAAGTATTCTTCCATTCTTAATTATATATTTTAGATTCCAACATTAGAAAATGAAGTCCACTTTGGTATCTAAATTATTGTTGTAGTTATCGTTAGCAACATGTAAAAGGAAGTCATTTTGATTAAAAGGGATTTTGTTTACATATAAAAATCTTTATCTTTGAATTGATCTAGGATGTAAGAAAAAAATAAAATAAGCAATGTTGAATTAGAAACTCATATTTTTAATCTATACTGCTCGTATCGTACTTTTTAAAAATATAATTGCACTTGTATTAAATCTTCCAATAATGCACTATCTTCAAAGAATTTGATATTTAAGTAGTTCGAGCGGCGTAACCAAGCCTTGAACTGGAGAAGCTGAGAAAGGTTGGGGTTTGAGCCCATTGAATTGTGGTAGAGTAGTCATCATGGTGGAAGCCATTGTTGCAAAAACTCAAGATTATCAAACAATGGAAATGTGTTTTATTTTTCTCTCTTTGTTTTGGAATATTTCTTTGCTTTTCTATGTTTAAATTGTTATAAATCTATTTGTGAGGAAAGAAGTTTATGTGGGCATTGGCCACATGAAGAGTTTGTGGCCATAGAATGAGGCTATTATGGATACACTTAGATTACTAGTTTGATGAGGTGGCACTCATATATTGGCTAACTCAAAATGGATAAGATTTTATGATTTGTCTCCAAAATTTTATTGGGATTTTTTTCCCGTTGTCCGGTACTAAATTTGGATTCACACCGAGAAGTCTCACAGTAAGGGGTAAAGCGCCCCATAACAAAAGTGACTTCAAACTCAAGAGGACTCGAATTTGAGACGTTTGATTAAGGATGAAAGAGTAATATTTACCATTCCACCACAACCTTTGTTAGTATTTTATTGGGAATTCGATGTTATTATTGTGATGATGGAATCTTAAGTCGGCAGTTGACCATATTTTATTGTGAAATTTGAAAAGAAAAAGTTTTTATTTTTAAAGTGAAAATTGGAGTTATATTTGACGATGAATAAAAATATTATGGCCCAAAGTTTTAATTGTCTCGTCATCCTCCATAATTAGCAAAAACACGCTCCTTAAAGATAATTTTTATTAAGAGTCTATTTTTAAGTAAATTACCTTTGTTAATGGTTATTAAAGTTGTAACTCCAATAATTTGGAGTGAGGGTACTTAATATTAATGGCAACATCAAAAGAAAATATTAAATGATTCTTAATTTTGATAAAATAAACAGGTAAAAGTAAAAAAAATACATTTTTAGTACCAAGGTATAGTAAAAACGAACAGATATTGCCATTTCAATTATTCTCAAGATATTTGCTTACGAAACCCACAGCCATAATGCAATAGCTCGAGGTAACCCGCACTAGGCAAATCCGGTTCGACGAGCTTGACCCAAAAGGCAAACATGTTACTTTCGCTGGCAAGGGGTTTCAAACTTGAGACCTCCAACATAGAAGTCTCCAAGCCCAAACTACCGGGTTAGCGACTAAACATATAGCAACTTAGATATCGCGAGGCTATATATGCCAAGTCTTTTTCCTTCTATAATACAACAATCTCAGCAGACAGAGCAAAATATCTTGAATTGGGACAGCTTGTTATGCTATTACGACTTTGAGTGTGCATATCTAGACAATTCTATTCGATATGCATTCTCAAAATTGAAGTGTTTAGTTGCCAATTAAGGCCAGGTTAAGCTGTCTGTATAATCCCTATTACAAAAAATTCCAGAGACAGAAAAAAAGATTCAAGCACCAAATGATTCGAATGTGTCCTTCATAAAAGTGAGTAGTTGCACAATGACACAAGGATTGTTTAATTTAACAACCACAAATCTACACATGTGCTAGGCACTTAACCCACTACAGTTACTTAGCAAGTGCTGAAACAGATATCTTTATATTCTTAGGGCTTAACATTTGGAAAATTAAAGGATCCAAAACAACATAAGGTGTACAAATGACAGTAAAACTGAGACTAATGACATCAACAGAATAGAGGAGGACATCAATATTCGAACACCATCTCATCATCATCAGAATAGTTGCTGCCATCAGAAAACTCATAATCATCATCGTCGTCTGATATGAGGTCAATGTCAGAAAATCCAGATGGGTAATCCTCATCAAACGACTCAAAGTCGTGCATCTCTGTATCAAGCCCATAATCTTCGGTGGGGTCCTGAGGGTGTCTTAGAGATTTGATCTGTCGAGAACATCGCTTACCTACTTCCCCTCCCAGATCGACATTGAGACATCGCCGCAGATCAAGCGATTCAAGTTGAGGGCAGCCATTGAGAATAGCTTCCAATCCTTCATTCGTCATCTTGTTTCCAAGGAGTTGAAGGTGGTGCAGTTCAGGCATGTTCTGTGCAATAGCTATGGCTTCTTCATCGTATTCAATGTAGGGGTGTCTGCAGATCTGGTTGTTCAACTTAAAAGACTTCAAACCACGACAAGAACTGCCTATAGTTTCAATCGCTTCTTTGGTGATAGCGATGTAATAGAGGTGCAGCTCCTCCAATAATGGGAACTTCTTCACAGCTGCACTCAATCCCTCGGCTGAGACATTGTAGGAACATACGAGTCGAAGATGTTTGAGCTGAGGTGATCTGTTGAAAAGATTCAGAGTTAATCATTAGAGATAGATATGCAGCATTTAAAGTATCCACGGGGATGTGAACATACACAAGCATCAATCATGCAAGGAAAGAAGCAGTCTCTATTGAGCAGTAACAGTTACATCGGTCGAGCAAATTTACATGATCGTTTGTTTTACATAATTCAGATGCATCATAGAATGCAGTTTCAGTAGTAGTAGTAGTCCTTTATGCGTACAAAAGCTTGTGCTTGTTCAAACATTTCCATGAAAGTTTAGCTGGATCAAAACCAAAATATTGTGAACATAAATTAGGTTGCTTTCTGTTTTTTCAACTATTAAATTGTACTTGTACAGAACTAATCTTTGGAAGATCGCCTCGCCACAAAGCTAATAGGCGATGAAGGGTCACCTCACCTCTTGCCATTGGCTATGAGGCGACCGCCTTTCACAACACTGCTAAGGCCCCTTTGAGATTTGAAAAAATCCTTCCGTTTTTCATTGACTAAAGATTGTTATGTGGGGATCGTTCTTACTTGAAGGGTTCTTTTGTCTTTGTTCACTCTTATCCATAATCCATCTACTGCAAATACATGCACTCTCATAATTAAACACAGATTTCCGCATAACTTAACCTGATATTAGCAGGGCAGGTTTATTGAGGTCAAGCAGTTAGTGTTAGATAGTTAGAAGTGTCATTGTCCCAGAACGGAAGGCAAAGTAAGTCTGAAGGTTTTATATAAAACCCTTGGTAAATTAGGCCTTCCTGGGTGAAGTGACTAAGTATCAAACTAGTGGCTTGTTGTATCATGAAGATTATCTATGTTTTTCCCCAATTCAATAATACAACCTTTTTTTTTTCTTTGATGACAAGGGAAACCCGCAGCCGCTACCCTTTGGGTGCGCACAGGGTAAAACCCCCGCTCCTATGCTCCTATACAACCTTTTCCTTTTCCAATCTCATTTCAGTTCATTAATTTTTCTAACGATTATGTTTGCAATTACTTTTTTTCTTGTTTCGCTAACCAAACATTGCATTACTTATGCAGGATTTCAAGCTGAGATTGGTGTTGCTAAATGTTACACCAAAAAACCCTAATATTTAGCTAGCTTTAAACTCACATCCGTGAAAGTTTAGCTGGATCAAAACCAAAATATTGTGAACATAAATTAGGTTGCTTGCTATTAGTTCAACTATTGAATTGTATTTGTACAGAGAGGTACGGACTAACTTCCTGAAAGTGTTTCTACACTTATTCCATAATAATGGCCCACATTTACCATTCAATCTTTGGAAGATTGCCTCGCCACAAAGCTAATAGGCGATGAAGGGTCACCTCGCCTCTCGCCATTGGCTATGAGGCAATCGCCTTTCACAACACTGCTAAGGCCCCTTTGAGATTTGAAAAAATCCTTCCGTTTTTCATTGAGTCATTGACTAAAGATTGTTAAGTGGGGATCGTCCTTACTTCAAGGGTTCTTTTGTCTTTGCTCACTCTAATCCATAATCCATCTACTGCAAATACATGCACTCTCATAATTAAACACAGATTTCCGCATAACTTAACCTGATATTAGCAGGGCAGGTTTATTGAGGTCAAGCAGTTAGTGTTAGATAGTTAGAAGTGTCATTGTCCCAGAACGGAAGGCAAAGTAAGTCTGAAGGTTTTATATAAAACCCTTGGTAAATTAGGCCTTCCTGGTTGAAGTGACTAAGAACTCTGCAAGTATCAAACTAGTGGCTTGTTGAATCATGAAGATTATCTAAGTTTTCCCCAAACTCTGCAAGTATCAACCTAGTGGCTTGTTGTATCATGAAGATTATCTATGTTTTCCCCAATTCAATAATATAGCTTTTCCTTTTCCAATTTCATTTCAGTTCATTAATTTGTCTAACAGTTATGTTTGCAATTGTTTTTTTTCTTGTTTGGCTAACCAAACATTGTATTTCTTATGCAGGAATTCAAGCTGAGATTGGTGTTGCTAAACGTTATACCAAAAAAAAAAACCTAATAATTAGCAAAATGAACAGATACTACCTTTAAACTCCCATCCATATTTGATAGCACACAAAAGTATGAAATTAGGGTTTAACAGCAGAAAAGCAGGAAACTAGGGTTGAAAATAGAACCTTTCAGAGATATAGCTGAGCAACTTGTCGCTGCCAAAATACTCAAGGCTGAGATCAACTAATTCCCCGTTGCTACATTCCACAGCTCGACCGCAAATCTTCTCCAAATCATCCTCCCTGTCCCAGAAATCGGCGCCGGCATTCTGCATTTTCACAACTCGCCACATAGCTGGTTCATGGCACAACCGACGCCAAGTTGAACACACTTTGTCGGCGCTCTTCAACATCTCAATTGGCCCAACCTTTTGAAGGATCGACGATGTAATATCCGGCGGCAATTCCACCCACGGCGGAGCAATTGAATTTTCCATATCTTCTGCTTCCATTTTGGAATGAACAGTTTGGTTTCTATTTTGAGTTAATTTGCCCTAATTAAAAAATTCCGTTTTGGACAAAATCGTCTTTTTATCATTTTTCTAAAATTGTTATTTATTTATTTATTTATTTAATTAATTTAAGTTGATAAAATTGTAATTATAAACACTAATAATAGTTAATCATTAAATACATCTTTTCTTTGTTTAGGTTTAATTTAGGTTAGGATTCACATTAGGCTTAAAAGGTTACTTTTTACTCTTTTAGATACCTATGAAAAATAAATATAGCAATATTACGCAAAGTGTTTTCCGTTGATTCGGTTTTTTTTTTTTTCTCTCTGAGAAGGTTTTTTACCGACTTTTGTATTGTTGATATACGTTATTGACTTTTACCTATCTAAAAAGTTACATGTAAATGTATAAGATATGTATAGTTAGTAAATAATATATGTATATTTTGGATAATAGTTACAAATATTTTTCGACCATGTTAGAAGTTGTATAATATATGTATAACTAATACTCTTATATAATATTTGTATATTGCCTAGCGGTTATAAGTATTTTTAGCCGAACATCCAAATATGTGAATTTCCCCTTAATTTAACCGTAAAAAATAATGGCAAATAGTAAGTATTCTTCCATTCTTAATTATATATTTTAGATTCCGACATTAGAAAATGAAGTCCACTTTGGTATCTAAATTATTGTTGTAGTTATTGTTAGCAACATGTAAAAGGAAGTCATTTTGATTAAAAGGGAGATCTTTGAATTGATCTAGGATGTAAGAAAAAAAAAAATAAGCAATGTTGAATTAGAAACTCGTATTTTTAATCTATATTGCTTTTACTTTTCAAAAATATAATTGCATATGTATTAAATCTTTCAATAATGCACTATTTTCAAATAATTTGATATTTAAGTAATCTAAACAACATAACGTTTAACTATCTTGATAATAGAAATCGATGATCTCTTTGAGATTGAGTTGAAACAAAGAAGAACAATCATTTTGCATCAACCACAACATATGCTCAAACAATATAGCATCCACATCAACAAAAATCACTTTATTTTCCTTATTCTCATTCACTTCCCTTCTATCTTCTTTCTTTCTCACCATTTCAAATAAAATCTTAAAAGGGCTTTGTTCCAACACAAATGGCTCCACCAAGAATTCCCTCTTATCTTTACCGACCACTACTGTCACTTCATCAGTAACTGTATTTTCAGAACTATTTTTTGAGAGTGGTTGGTAATCCAATTGGATTGAGGAACGCCTTTTCATGTTTGATATCGGAAGAAATATGCAGTTCATAACGTGCCCTTTTGACTCTAGACTCGAATTATATGTTTAGCTAACTTCTTTGTGTTATGAGATTTTCTTTTACTTTTCTTGAAGGTGTTGAACTTGGTTATATAATTACTATTTCACTTGTTGTTAGATGATGAAAGAGTTATTGAGAGATATATATATGCAAACAAAATAAAATAAAGTACTATGTTTGGTAGAAATTAACTAGAAATGATAATTTATGTAGATTAATTTCAATGGTAAAATTTTGATGGAAATTGAACCATTCAAGTGAAAAGATGGTAGGATTATGAAAATGTAACAAACATTTTGACAAATAGTAAGGTTCATGGAATAGGCAATTTGGGACTCTCAATTTAACATCAATTGTTTATTGTGTACCTATTCGGATATAAATCTTTTCATGAGTCAAACACGTATAAATACAATATCGAGTTTAGAGCACAAGTTTATACGGGAGTAATAGTTGTTGCATGTCCAGAACCTATAGGTATATTAAGAAATTCGCTTAGTAAAAATGAAACTTAAACACTGAACAATGTCATGTTACATTATGTGATCGTCTTTACCTAAAATTTGAATCGTCAAAAAAGACACAATTTTTATTTAATTATATCTTCAACGCTAATATTTTATGAGCTCTTTTAAGTGATATGACACCCTGTCTCACCATCCATAATGTCCACCCCCACCCTCACCCCAACACACACAAAAAGGTGAAAAGTTTGGTTAAAATTGCTTTAAATAAACTTGAGTGTAACGTATTATCACACACAAAGAGTTATATACTTTGGAGGTTAAAGTTTCATAAACTTTAATTTATTAGTTTCATATACTCCAACTAATTAATTTTAGGCCAATTAGCAATTGCAAAGAGTTGAGTTTCAACCAAATCAAACACTTCAATTTAAGCTTAATTAATTTGTGAATATAACGGCAAAAGAATGGAATTTGACCAAAAATCCTCTATTTCACATATAGACGATTTTCAATTCTTGCAACTGAATAATTGTTTTTGACATGACGTTTCAAATTTTAGAGGTAAAACTTCATTCTGAATTTCACAAATAAAATTTCATACATGAAATTTGAAACTTCATGATAATAAAAACGAGTAAATGGCCAAAAACATCCCTCAATTATAACTCAAACTTAAACTACATCCTTATATTATAACAATGAATAAATAAAAGATTCAAACAGAAAATATGTTACGTTTCTTTCATTTTTATCATTTGGAAAAATATAGATGAGAAAAAGTGGAAGATAAATACTCCACCCATACCTTGCTTTCCAATAGCTCTAATATAGCTACAAGGAATAGATGCTTGGTGGGGTTAATTTATGGAATATGCAGAATAACATGAAAAATAGTTTCTTCTCTTTAAATTTTTTTATATAGCTTTTCTCATCTATATTATTCCAATTTTATTGTTTAGATAAAATAAATACAATTTTGTATGTAAATGAGATACATAATTTATTTTTTAATAATAATAATATATATATATTCAGTGTAATTCTATTATGAGAAAGATGGTGTGTACATAGTCTTACTCTTATATTATGAAGATTTTTATAATAGTAATTTACATCGTGTATAAATGAGATACATAATTCATCTTTTACCTTTATAACTTTTATATATAATTAATAGTTATTCATTTGGAATTTATAAAACAATTTAAAGTTTACTAATAGATCAATTATTTATATGTTGCCATTAGCATGGCATTTCAAATTTTAGACGTGAAATTCCATGACAATATGGAGTTTCAAATTCCACGAGTGAAGTCCTAAAATATTATCATGAAATTGGGGGTGGGGGGTGGGTTTATGATCAGAGAAAGATAAGAGGCGTGGTTGGTTTGTCACTGTAGGAAGAGGGACGGACGACTCACCAAATTCACATAAAAAATCACCATCATGAGCCTCCGTTACCTTTTGGTAGGCCTACGTCCCATAGAAACTGTCTACTTGAGATGACTGTCCCTTGGTCCGTAGGTCCTAACACGGTACTTTCTAGGAACATTATCAGTTTACCACCCAAAGAGGGACCAACTTGTCAGTCCAGTGTACCAGCAAGTGATGAAAAAGATCAGGGTAACTTTACCTTCTCAGCAATTCTGACATGATATGTGCTCTATAAATACTTCGTATCAATGCAGACTTAGCTAAAGAAACGGAATAATATAGAAGACAAACTCATAATAAGAAAGAAAGCACTATTATGGCAGAGCAAAGAGTAATTGCATTAACAGTTTAACACCTAATCTAGTTGAAAGTTTGGAAATCCAGTTGGTTTGTCAATTTGAGAATAAGCAAATACTCAACCACAGGCCACCCTAACATAGACTATAATTATAAGCAAGTTGAAGTCAGAACTAGATCTAACACCTAAAATCTGCCCGTTCAGATTTGTGATCAGTCACCGGGAATCAAGAAGCTTTTTCACATTCCTTGGCCCCAGTATGTTGGCATACCGTGCATTGGTTGAGGAGCATTATGCATGGGTTGAGCAGCATTACCAAAAGGTCCTTGTTCGTGGCTGAGAGGGCTACCACTGTTCTCATCGACTGAGTCGCTTGAGCCACCCGGGGAAGGAGAGCTCGTCTCAGTGACCGGAGCACCAAAATTCAGCACATTGGGAGGTGGAGTTGAGGATGGTGCCTCAGACATAAGCTTTTCCTTTTCTGGAGTGAAGGTACCCACAACCAGCTGGTAGAGAAATGAAACCGTTAGCAAGTATACAATCTGAACTCAAACATCAGGGAAAGGATGGCCCAAGGCTTTGGTCTAGTGAATAGAAAGCAACACACGATGTGAAAGTTACACACACATCACTGTTCGAGGTTTGAACCCTATCACAAACAAAAGCCTGCTACTTAAGTGAAGGATAGAGAGGTGGGCTCATTTATCTACCAAGTATCGAGCCATGCGCTACCGGTTTATTCAAAAGGAAAAGGAAAAAAAATGAATGCAACGACAGAGGTAGTTAGAATAGCACCTGCACCGGAGAGGCAGCCTTGAGCATTCCAGCAACGACTCCACCCAAAACTCTACCATCTGGCCCAGACAGTGCCACACTAAGACCACCTGTTCTGCTACGGTTGCCATTACTTTCTGATAGCAAGAAAGACCCCGATAATGAGATGATGTTGAATCGACCCTGCATATAAAGAATAACACCATGCTTGATGACCAATGCCAAATAGGTATGCTGGAAGAAGACATTCAGTGTACATGCATTGATCATCTAAAAGGATATACTCTACTGACTTTTTTCTCTAATGTCAAAAGATAAACGCCAAAAAAATCAAATTTCCAGATCACACATAGACTAACTAAGCATAACATAAAGGCAACAGAAAAAGCAAATGTCTTTAAGCTGAAACTCATACAGACCTCGTACGTCACAGTGCCACCACCTATTATGGACTGCCTGAGGGTGACATTGCAGACGACTCCAGTTGCAGCTAGAATACAAACTGCCGGTGGTCCTTGCAGTGAGAAATTCACTATCTTATTTGCAATGTCCTGCAGCCAAGGTAACAAATTTGCATCATTTAGTAAAGTCAACCAAAAAAATCACAAGATTGGTACTTCAATTCAAGTAACCCTTAAACAAGAATTTTGACCATGGGTAAGATAAAACTATTACGTATTAGTACATTAGACTTCTCATTTTTAATAAATGAAGCAGTGAGCCCCACAAAATTTCTGTCATGATTCACTGCTCTTT